TTACAATACATTAACTTACATTAACTTACTTACACAGCTGAACATAAGCCTGGACTTACCCAGCCAAGTAGGCATTTGCCAGAGAGCGCAGGGTAAACCATCTACCCCCCAGTATTTCCTGAAATATAGATGAGGGAGACAGTATTTCTGGTGGTTTCCTTAAAGGAATGGCTCTTGAATCTATTCACTCACCACATATATTTAAAGTACCCCAAGATGGAGATGGACTTAGCACAGAATCGGGGACCCATGTATTATGGCATTGCCTACCCCAGCCCCTCCCCTTCAACCACCTCCCCACACTACTCTTTCCCAGAGCACTATTATGGGAAACAAGCCTACGAAAGTCACTTGTGTGCCCTCAATAAGGTGTGGTGGTGAGCAGTGCTCCTTACGTCACACACTGTTTTCTTTATGAGGACTCCTGGGAACAATTCCTGTCTGGCTTCTGTGTGAACAAGTTAGAATTTTCCTGAGAAATTGGTTTGTGTTTATCTCGTGGACACTGTGAACTATATATCTGACAAGTTTCCTTTATTCCATTGGCAGCTGCGGTACTGAGGCCTCCAATTGTGACCCACCGGAAAGCCACAGATGTGGAGAAACACAATTTTAACATTATGACCAGCTCCGATGTCTTCTTTTCCTATCTGTGTTGCCTTTTAATTTATGCTATCTTGTCATGTTTTATGTCCCATTGTAAGCCACCTGAAAAACATTCTGTGGAGTAAGATTTGGTTTACATTGAAAAGCAGGTATATGAGGTGTGGAAGAGCTCCACACCATATGTTTCTATTTTCTTCAAAACTTCTATTACATTCTAACATTCTTCCACTGATAAGCCCAAACTTCAGGACATGCAAGTCAGAAATATAGCAATAATGATCATAAAATAATTGAAAAAGCTAAATAAAGGTGCTGAGAATATCATGACTGTTCCTTCTCAGTCTCCTGGCCCAACTGGGGCAACGCCATTGAAATAACAAAGCTTCTTGAGAGCATGATGCACATTAATACAAATTACAACTGAAAAAGTAAATAGCACTAAATACTTGAGTGACACATGGAAGTTTACCAGGATTCTCAGGGTCTACAGGTAGCCCAAGGAAGCAGGAGGGTCAGGCACCACCATTATTCTCATTCTACTGCTCTGCTAAGGAGCAAGAAAGAACTGTTAGCCCCTAGGAATTTTCCAAACTGCAGGAGATAGGTTCAAATCCAAGAAGAGAAGCACTGCTATCAAGTCCCATCAAAGTGGGCAGAGATGGCTCGGGATGGGCTAGGGACCAATATTCTCACTAAGTCAACCAAGAAGACATGAGGCAGATTTTTTCGATAAATGAAGACAGAGGTAACTGGAGTAAGTTTCTTCTAAACATTACTGTTTCCTTGAAACTTAAGCTGTCCTTTCCAATAACACCTTCTGCAATGCTGCAAATGTTCTGTCTGTGCTTGTCCAACATGGTAGCCACCAGATGCACGTGGCTACTGTGCACTCAAAATGGGACGAGGCTTCTAAGTTCTGAGTTTTACTTATTTTCAGTAATTTAAATATAAATAGCCATTGAAAGTTTAACAGGGTTCTGGAACACAAGATCAATATATGAAAGTCAATTGTATTTCCATACGCTAGCAGTGAAAAGTCAGAAATTGAGATATTTTTAGATCAAAAATATCAGATACCTAAGGATAAGTCTCACCAAAAAAAATGTGTAAGACCTATACACTGAAAATTGCAAACCTTGCTGAGTGAAATCACTATAGATCTTCAATAAATGAAGACATATACCATGTTCATACTCACAAAAGTCATTATTGCTAAGGTGTCAGTTCTCTCCAAAAGTGATTTATAGATTCAATGCAATCAATCCCCATCATAATTCCAACAGGCTTTTATTTATTTCTTGGTAGAAGTTGACAGACAAAGGGATTCTAAAAGTCCTATGGAATTGCAAAAGACCTGGAACAGCCAAAAATCACTCTGAAAATGAAGCACAACTGGAAGACTGACGATACCTGATTTCAAAACTTTTTATAACGCTTACGGTAACCAAATCTATGTGACAGTAGTATAAAGATAGACAAAGATCAGTGGAACAGAAGAGCCCAGGAAGAGCCCCACACACATGTGGATGAAAGCAGTAGAGAAAGAATGTCCTTTTCAATTAATGATGCCAGAACAACTGAGGTATCCAAATGCACCGAAAACAATAACAGCAACAAAAAGAACGGCGATGCCTACCTCACACCATATGCAAAATTAACTCAAACTGGATCACAGACTTAAATGTAAAAGCTAAAATTATAAAAATTTCTAGGAGGAAACAGAAAAAAAAAATCACTGTGACCTGGGGTTAGGCAAATATTTCTTAGAAATGATGCCAAGACAAGATCCGGAGGAAAAAAAATGATAAATTTGATTTCATCTGAACTTATTTAAGTTTTTTTAATGCTTACTCTTTTTGACAGAGACAGAGCACAAGCAGGGGAGGGGCACAGAGAGAGGGAGACACAGCATCAGAAGCAGGCTCTAGGCTCTGAGCTGGCAGCACAGAGCCCAACACGGGGCTTGAACAAACCGTGAGCTCATGACCTGAGCCAAAGTTGGACATTCAACAGACGGAGCCACCCAAGCACCCCTAATTTTATCTGAATTTAAGAACAGCCCCCTCCAATGCTACTGTTAAGAGATTAGAAAGACAAACCACAGATAGAAGACACGTGCAAACCATGTATCTGACAAAGGATCTGTATCCTGAATAAAGAACTATCAAAATGCAATAATAAGAAAACAAACCAATAATAAATGAGCAAAATATTTAAGCAGGCACTGCACCAAAGAAGGCATACAAATGGAAGCAGATGGACACATGAAGAGATGTTCAACATCACTGGTCATGAGGGAAAGGAAAACCAGAATCACAATGAGGTAACACTACACACTCATTCAAATGGCTAAAAGTAAAAAGACTGACCATACCAAGTGTTGATAAAGATGCTGGTGACCAACTATAGCTGCCATACACTGCTGATGGGAGTGGAAAATGATACAACCACATAGGAAAATAGCTAAGCAGTTCTTTAAGAAGTTATACCTCTACTATGTGACCCAGCCATTCCACTTCTACCCAGGAGAAGTGGAAGCATACGCCCATAATTCCATTCAACTCCATAAATGTTCCCAGCAACTTGTTTTTAAATAACCAGCATCTGAACAACCCACACAGCATCAATAGATGAATATATAAAGAAACTGTGGTATCCTCACACAATGGAATATTACTCCACAAAGGAGACTTTTTAAATAAACTATATATATACACAGTATCACAGATGAATCTCAAAATAATCATGTTGAGTGAAAAAAGCGTACTGTGTGATTCCATTTATAGAAAATTCTAGGACATGCAAATTAATATACAGTTGACCCTTCAACAATGTGGGTTAGAAGCGCTAACCCCCCACACATACAGTCAAAAATCCTTGTATAACTTTTGTCTCCTCTCAAACTAAACTACTAACAGCCTAGGTTGACTAGAAACTTCACTGATAAGATAGTCAATAAACATGTTCTGTATGTTATATGTATTATATACCATATTCTTACACTAAAAAAATCATAAGGAAATGAAAATACATTTACAGTGCTATACTGTACTTATCAAAAACAAACAAACAAAAAATCCATGTATAAGTGAATCCACCCAGTTCAAACCCATAGTTTCAGGATCAACTGTTTAGTGACAGAACATGGATCAGTGATTACCTGGAGACAGATAAGAGGAAGAGGGCAGAAAGCAGGGATGGGAATGAGGAAACTTTTGAGGATGGTAGACACGTCTAGTATCTTGGCTGTGATCAAAGTTTCACATATACATGCACATGTGAAAGTGTATTAAATTACACACTTTAAATACTGCATCTCAATAAGATCTCAGTGAATCTGTTTAAAGTAAAAAACAAAACAGGGCACCTGGGTGGCACAGTGGGTAAAGCATCCTACTTCGGCTCAGGCTATGATCTCACAGTTTCTGAGTTTGAGCCCTGCATTGGGTTCTGCACTCATAGCTCAGAGCCTGCTTTGAATCTTCTGACCATCTCTCTCTCTCCCCCTCCCACTTGCACATGCTCTCTCAAAAATAAACATTTAAAAATAAGTAAATATAAAATAAAAAAACTGAAATGTGTTCAACAGCCTCATGAGGCTGGTAGTGACTCACTGAACTGCCCAGTTCGACTCTCAGTGCTGCCTTAACACTTGGCGCTTCAACATTAGCATCCATGGGAGTATCTCTGATGCTTAACAATCTGTGGCTAATTCCAAGTCCCATCCTTTCCCCTACTTCCACTAAAAGAGATTTTCTTTTATCTTGCTTTGAAAGTAAGGCCAATGAGCAGACCTAAGAGTGGAACAGATTCAAACTCAGAACATCTTCCTGGCAGACGTTCCTGATGGACTTATTCAACCAAAGAAGGGATGGCTATGCTCGTTTAGTGAAATATTCTGGTAAAGGGTCATTTATTCTCATAAAGGGTGATTTTATAAGACTTTCCCAGAATGCTATGGAGGAACATTATCCATCAAATAGGAATCTGGTGGATCACTAGGTAGTAGCTAGGTTCCTTCCACCCCAGATTTTAGGATTTCACATTCCCCGGAATCAAAAGTACGGAGTTTGTCTTAGCCCTGGGTGCCTGGGTTTAATGGATAAAGTCTGTTGGAGGGCAGCTTAGAAAGGTCATAGTTGCAAATTCTAGTTCTGTCACTTTTATGTGTGTGGTATCAGTTTCTCCTTCTGTAAAATGGGTGTCCTGATGCCCATAAAACAGAATCAGAGTTAAGATCTAACAAGATCATGGATGCAGAGTATCATTTAAGGAGGAGAGGTACATATAATACATTCCCTCCCCTCACCCACCAAGACCTTCATCACAACACACACGTTGTTCCCTAACAGAGGGATGGGTAGGCATATGCAGGGGGCCACTCCCATTCTTACCTGGAGCCAAAGTTTGTCATGCTGAGACCACTTCCCACCAGCGATGCACTGAAATGTGGCATTCTGCCCCACATTCACCTCGACATTTTGGAGCCGCAGAAAGTGAGGTGCTTTTCCTAGGAAAGAAACCAAACAGCGTATGAGGACTCAATTCAACAGGCTGCCCCACTTCCCCATCCGTAGATGGCCATATAGGACGGTTCAGCGGTCCAGAACACATTCAGTGTTCTAGGAATGTGCGCCTAGAAAGCGGCCTGGTGCAGTAAAGAGATACTGCTGTTAGATCACTTCCTATGAGCCAGGTACTGTTTGTTCTATGAGTTTTACAGGATCACCTCACTTAAATCTCACCAATAGCCATGAGATGGAGAGTATCTCCCTTTCACAGATCAGAAAATTAAGGCTCTAAGGGGTTATAGTTTGGCACAGTCAGAGAGCCAGAAAGTGAGAGAGCCAAGGCATGACTCCAAGTCTCTGAGAGCTTTAGTATCCTTAATATTAGCTTCTGGACAATATTAGCATGTTTGCAAGAAGAAAATGGAGGCAGGCACACAGAGAGCATTCAGCATAGAGAATTCCTCCTTGTAGCCTGAGTGAGCGACGTGAAGAAAGCTTAAGCAAAGCACCTTTGAGCTTGAGACCCAGACGCCTGGCCTTGGTGATGACGCTGATGATGAAGATCATATGGAGGGCAGAACGAAGAAGGGAGAGAGGTAGAGGAGAAAAACAGTCATCATTCACAATTGCTATGTGGTCAGTATCATGTGCAGTGTCCACACATAGTAGTTCACTGAACCCATGCAGTTGGTGGTGGGATCAGCTCTGCCTTATAGTGAGTAAACTGAGGCACCAAGAGCTCAAGAAACATGCAGTCTACAGTTTTTTTAAAAATAGTTTATTGTCAAGTTGGTTTCCATGTCACACCCAGTGCTCATCCCCACAAGTGCCCTCCTCCATGCCCACCACCCCCCTCCCGCTCCCCCTACCCCATGTGCCCTCAGTTTGTTCTCAGCATTCAAGAGTCTCCCATGGTTTGCCTCCCCCCCCCAACTATTTTTCCCCTTCTTCTCCCCCATGGTCCTTCATTAAGTTCCTCCTAATCCTCCTATATGTGCTCACATATGGTATTTGTCCTTCTCTCCCTGACTTATTTCAACTCTAAGCTAGAATATCCCCTAAGGATGGGAGGAAGGTGGGCCATTTACTCTGGGGACTTGGCATAACAGGAAAGGGGACTTTCAAATGAAACTCACAGGTCTGTGACCAATCAATTCCAGAATTAAACAGTGTTACCTTGGGCTAATGGATTTATCTCTTTCCTTGTTTGTGGACTCGGGTTCTCGCCTATTTGAATTCCACAAAGATGAGTAGGCTGATAAACAATGTCTAGAAGTATCAGTTTCATCACTGAGGCACAAAAGTGCCAAGGATCCCACTGGGGTGGCTGGGTGGCTCAGCTGGTTAAGCATCTACCCCTTGGTTTTGGCTCAGTTAATGATCTTATGGTTCACGGGACTGAGCCCCATGTTGGGCTCTGCTGCATGGAGCCTGCTTGGGATTCTCTCTCTCCCTCTCTTCTCTCCTCCTCAAAATAAACTTCTTTTAAAAAGTGCCAAGAATCCCCTAACACATCAACCAAGCCATGATGAACTAGACATCAACTACCCCACAAAGCAACCAAATGAACAGCTGTTAAGAGGATCAAGAAGGTTCAACAAGGGCCTTTGGCCATCTTTTCAGAGAGAGTCAAATACCCAGAGACACAAATAATAGCAATCATGTCACTTATCTAAAGCTCCTGCAATGCCAGGGACTGTGATAAATGCTTTACCTGTTTCATCTAATTTAACTTTGTAACATTCCTATAAAGCAGGCACTATTATTATTTCCCTTTCAGAGAGGCAGAAATCAAAGCTCAACAAGTTTAATTTGCTCAAAGCTATGTAGTGTTAATAAGAGACAGAAACAGAATTAAGTCCAAATTTCCGCCCAAAAGTCAACATTTAACAAGCACGTCGTCCAGCCTCCTGGGCAATGCGAAGTCCAGAGCATCACCTGGACCCCAGAGACCAGACAAAGGGTTTGCAGGCCAGACTGTGCCAACTCTCTAGGCTCCACTATTTCCTCCCGAATATCTTATCACAAGTGATCCCCCCTCTCCTTGGCCATTTATCCCCATGGTCTTCACGCTACACACTACCTGCTCCACCAACCTGTGTCACCGGGTATAGAGCTCAGCAACAACCAAACCCTTTGGCATGAAGAGGCAGACTTGCTGTGTGAAAACACATACCTTCTGCTCAGGCTTTTGAACAAATGACAACAGCTCAGAGACCTCCCTCGTGCTACCCTCAGGACCCCACTGCTAAAGTAGTGTCAAGAATTGAAGGCCCAGGGAAGACCTCTCCTTGTGGGCTTCTCAGAATTGAAGATTCCTGCATCTAGTCAACCTGACAAATGTCATGCTGCTTTGATTGTCTGAAATTGTTTCCTTTTCGCTTTCCTGTATAATTTTGTAAAGTTATTTTTGGAACTATCAGTTCAAGTCGATTCTTCAAGTGGGACTGAACGTAAACCCGGTAAGCCCATTTATGCCACAGGTTTAAAGGGGAAGGAACATCTGCTCCGTGCAGGGAGGGAGAAGGGCCTTAACTCCAATGCTGGGAGGCTTTGTGCTGGGTTTTACAAAGGGATGTCTCTCTGTGCCCTTGGGGACACTGGGCCAATGGTTTAACGTCTGGGACCTGTGCAATTAGAGACGGATCTTCTCTGGATCAGTGTCCCCTGCTGGCTCTGACTCCCAGCTTCTCCGCAGACAACCTTCTGTCTGGATTTTTTTCATCTTCAATCCCTCTTCCTGCTTCCCTTCTAAGTTCAACGATAGAGAGTTCAGAGGCTTAATGGCCCCTAATGTTAATATTCTGGTGAAACACTGATGGCTTACGGCAGATGCTGAACTCCTGCACCTACAGGAGCCAGTTACATAAATGAACAAAGTAGCTCGGTCATAAAACAAAACATAAACAAATGACCACCTCCTTGCCCTATCATTCACTTCCCTGCTTTCGGTAGAGACTTGGGTAAAATAAAGATTTCTCTCTGTGTAAGAACAGCAACATTGCACACACAGTAATAACTGGTGTCTGACACCAGCCTCAGTACCGAGGAGGCAATAAGGAGTGGAGGGGACTAAGGAAAATGGATAAAGACCCCACGACCCCTTGAAAGAGGGCAGCTGTTACTTAAATCCAGCAGATGAAGGCCATTCCAGAGTACTTTGCTCACTGCAGTCAACTGTCCAATTTCTCACCCCACGTAAGAAATCCAGGTTTTATGTGCAATCTCTCATTCTAAAATCTTGACTGAATTTTTGGGGCACCTGGGTGGCTCAGTCAGTTAAGCACCTGACCCTTGATTTTGGCTTGGGTCATGATCTCACAGTTGTGAGATCGAGCCCCATGGCAAGGCAATCCACACTCAACATGAAGCCTGCTTGAGATTCTCTCTCTCTCTCTCTCTCTCTCTCTCTCTCATTCTGACCTTCTCCCCAGCTTGTGCTCTCTCTCTGTAAAAAAAAAAAATTAATTCCATTAAAACACCTTGCAGACCTAACAAAACACACCTGCAGGCATGCTCCCCCGGTGTGGTCTCTGTTACACAGCTCCTATGGAAGTCACCCAGAATCATTCCCATTGGCCGGTCCTGCCATCGTCGCTCCCATGACTGCAGGCAGCATGCTGCAGATCACATGGCTGCGGGCCCGATCCAGGTTCCCAACACAGGAGCTTATTGAACACCCTCCTCCCTGCTTAGTGCTCTCTCCACCTGCCCTTACTCTGGTGTCTGCTCTTGGAGCTCAGGCCTCATCTCCACCTCATGACAAAAGTCTCTCTCTGGGGATCCTCCTCATGTTGGGGACCTGTTCAGGCCACTCCTGAGCTCCTGGTCTCTCTGACCCCTCTTCTCCCCGCACCCCCCACCCCCGTCTTCTCCCAACCACAGTGCACTTCTGAGCCCTCTGCTCATTCAGCTGCCACCCCACCCCACCCCCACCTACAGCTCTGGGAAAGAGTTTATGCTGCCAGCTTCAACGTGCCAAACACAGTTGTCCTTGGGGCCCAGGTCGGCCTCCAGCTTGTGGTTTTAAACACTCCACCCTCGCTCCCCATTGAGATCCAGCATCCCCAAAGTGGGATCCTGCTGAACGGGGTTAACAGAAAACTGGTTATGCATCTGGGGCAAAATACCTTGATGCTGGTGACATTTAAACTCCTGCAGATGTCAGTGCAACATCCAAAGACATATTATTGTGCCCTTTATCTCGCTCTTTAAACCTGACGGTGCTCAGTAGGAAGCCACACAATTGAGGAGAAAGAGCAGTACACACATTAGAAACATGGTGCAGACACTCCATGGGCTCAGTGACATGACCCCCCAAGGTCGTGATGAGGGGGAAATAAAAAAGTCTAAAAAAGTCCAAAAGTCAACTTGGGGGCTAGAAACTTAGAAACTGGGTAGAAAATTGTGCTGACATTTATTATACGTGGCTGCCGCTGTGGTGGTCCTGCTAATGGCTAACACTGAGAAATGACAGCAGAGAGGGACTATGACTAAAATACTTTTACAATAACAAAAAATTTTAAATGGGCTATAAAATATAGACGAGAGGTTTCAGTTTGTAAGAGAAAATAATTTCCTTTGAGTATTACACCTGTGTGTCAGTCACTGTTTTGGAAGCTGCGAGGCAATCACTACAAGTCATAACTTCAGCTCAACTCAATCAGTAGTACAATTGCAAATCAGGCACTAACCCCCTTGGAACTTTCGGGATATTTGGTGGAATCGCTTATTGATAAGCACTGACCTGATGTTAATAGAAAAACTGTTTGGGAGGACAGAAGTGGAAAATGACAAAGCCTGAGAAGAATGTCTATTTCTCCATACAGTTACATTTTTAACAACCACAAGTGAAGTCATAAATGCATTAATATGAAAGCTTTGGGGGGACAAAAGCACTTTCAATCCAAAGGACAGTTCAGAAGCCACTTAGCGGTCTGTGTGACTCGCGATCCCATGAGCAGCCCCCAGGACGCACGCATGGCGAGCACGTTGCAAGGCATCACTCAGGCTCCACCGCTGATAGACTCCCACCACCCCAGCCTGCACCAGCCAGTCGCAGAAGCCGAAATCCAGGGGTGGGCCATTTTTAATGCCTCTGCCTCCCAAACTAACCTGTCAAATGGGACCAGCTGACTCTACCTCCTAAATGTATCTCTGATCTGTCCACCTCTCCTCTGTTTCTTCACAGCACTGCTGACCATCTGTTATGGGCTAAACTGTGTCTCCCTGCCTCCCAAATTCTTTAAGTTTATTCATTTATTTTGAGAAAGAGACAGAGAGCAAGTGAGCACATGAGCAGGAGAGGGGCAGAGAAACAGGGAGAGAGAGAGAGAATCCCAAGAAGGCTGTGTGCTGACAGCGCAGATATGGAGCTCAGACTCACAAAGCGTGAGATCATGACCTGAGCCAAAATCAAGAGCCAGACGTTCAACCAACCGAGCCACCCAGGCGCCCCTCCCCCTGCAAACCCTTATGTTGAAGCCCTACTGCTCAACACCTCAAACTGTGACTGTATTTGGAGATGGGGCTTCTAGGGTGGACCTTAATCCATCCAGAGTCCTCATAAAGAGAGAAAATTTGGACACACTGATATGTATCAGGGGCATATGTGCACAGAAGAAATCCCATGTGAGAACACAGCTAGCAAAGGAAAGAGGCCTCAAGAGTAACCAACCTCATCATCTTCATCTCAGACTTCCACCTGTAGATCTGTGGGTAAATAAACTTCAGCTGTTTAAGCACCCACCCCCAGACTGTGGTATTTTATGTGGGAGCCTTAGCAAACTAATTTACGTTCTGTTATAGATCATGTAATTGCCAATTTCATTTCCAGGGTCTTCAACCCCAGTGGAAGGGCAGAGAATGATTTTGAGTTACTCCCATACACCCAGCACAGTGCCTGTCCTGGAGTTCACATTCCAGTAACCACATGCCGCAAGTTGAATGGACAGCTCTCCCCCAGCCGGGTCAAGGCCATTACCACCTCTTCCGTGACTCTGGAACTTTCCTCCTGATAGGTCTCCTCACTTCTGTATTCCTCTTCAACTTGTCTCCACAGAGGAGCCAAAGTCATCTTTTAACACTCAGAGCAAATCAATCCCTAGGACAAATCCCTCCAGTGGCACCTCTTTGCTCTTATATTAAAACCTAACCTCATCGTGACTCTCAGGGGCCTGCGCAGTCAGGCCTCGGCCTCCCTCCCACTTTCACCTACACCTATGCTCCCTACACTCCAGGTCCTCCAGCAGCACCTGCAGACTCCTAGTGCAGGGGCGTGTCCCCCTCCCTAGATCACCACACGGGGGACTCTGGTCTCAGCTCAGACCACATGTGCACAGAAACCTCTCCTACCTCTTAGACTCTATCTGAGGACTCCCCACTCATACCAGCCACTCGCATTTATTATATTCCCAGCACTATCACTATCTGAAATTATATTCATTACTATTTAAAATTACTTATTGGCTTTCCTCCCTATGCCAGTCCGCTAATTTAACACCACGGAGATAAGGATCTAACCAACTTGATCATTTAAGTAACCCCTGTGTCCAGCACAAGTTCTGGACACATAGCTAATGCACAAAAATTTAATTATTGAAAGGAAATATGAATGAAAGGCTGGAGTGAATGTGGACTGAGCACAGAACTTAACCAGGGGCCTTTGTAAGGCATCATTCACCTCCACACAACTCAGGAGGTGCGGATAGACCCCTGAGGACTATATGCACTGGCAGTATTTGTACATATATAGTTAAGTGGAATTTTTCTAATTCCGGCCACTATCGCAGTGTCCTCACATTTTGATTTCTGGGAAGTTTAAGCTTAAGGTGCCTAAGCATCAAGGCTGAATTCTGTGTTGCACTCACATTACAAAGGAACACAGCCAGAGTCACGTCTTACTGAGTTATATCCCATGGCCCATTTGCTGGGTAACTGGCTCTCGGCAATTCCATAACCATGCAATCCACACTCCTCAGCAGGAGGAATACAAGGCTGTCAGGAGAATCCTAAATTCAGGAGCAGCCCCAAGGAGAGGGAGAATTCCAAGGGAAGACCATGAGACCTCAGGGTGGAAAGGCACCCAAACACCATCCAGAGAACCCTCTCCCACAGAGATTTCTCAGAGAGAAGGGAACATTTGGCTTTAATGGCAATCCATGGACAGTACTCGGAATCAAGGGAGAGCTGAGGGTAAAACAATGGACGGGTATCAGGTTGGGCCTGACAGCAGAGGGGAGCGGAGAGATCTGGGATCCCTTATGAGAAACCCAGGCTGGGTTCTCCTGGCAAGAGACACAGACAGACAGAGTGCAGACATCCAGCACTGAGTAAGCAGCAGGGCTGCAGCAGGAGTGAGTGTCCCTGAAAAGGATGGGATGTGCACAGGCCTTGGGGACATCAACCTTGTCTCACAGACACTACCTCACAACTGGGAGAGCTGTGCAGAGCTCAGTGTGTGCAGCTAAGTGGGCCACAGGGAGGGCAGACATCTGACACAGCTGCCCAGGGTGAGGTCAAGGATCATTCTTTAATGGGCAGCTGATGCTGACCAGTGGAGGGAAGGCTTAATCAAGGTGAGGGGATTAACTGCGTATCTACTATATAAACACTGCATGGCTGGGGGGGGAGGGGCGGGGTAGAGTTCTGGGACGCTCTTCACATGAGGTCTGGTTCAGCGGGCATGACTGAATTACCAAAGACTCAGGAAGTAACCCAGAGGATAGAAAGCTTAGACCACAGTAATGAATAATCCAGTAGGATCTCAGCATTCCTGAGAGGCTGGCTGATTTGGGGAAGAAATAGGGCTCTCTTATACAAACACAAAATACAATTATCCCAAATGCTGTCTTGCCAAAACCCTTTGGAACTTGTCCCAAATTCTTCCAAAGAAGGTGCTCTAAGCAATGAGTCCAACAATGGCATTCCAGTGCCGGGGAAGGAAGTGATGTTCAAGGCACTAACAAATTCACTGCAGAAGAAGTGGAAAGTGTCATTTCAATTAAAGCAACATGGATGGGGCTGAACTGAAAACAGCCCCAAAATGAAAGGACTGAAAGGCCCTGTAAAAACCAGGGGCAAGGACACTTCTGGAGAAAACCGTAAACTACACCACAGCCTATGGCATGACTCATGGCTACAAAGAGGGAGTAGAGAGGGCCCTCCAGGAGTCACCTGCAACCAGATGGCCACTAATAAATTAATGAGAATCTCCAATATGCAGAACGCTAACAAACTAAGAGGGCTGCTACCCGAGCTAGCCCTCCTCAGAGGTGCCCTGATTACAGCCCCCCACCCCCACTCCCAGCCAAGTGTCACCAGATATGATGCCATCCAACTCCCTCTGGGATTTTGTGAAACTGGGAACCACAGCTCTTTGCACAGATGCAGAAATCTCAGACTAAATACAGCAAAAAGAACTTCAAGGGGAAACTGGATGGGCATGGAAGGAGGGGTATGCTTTGAGGACTCTTGACACTGTATCAGAAGTTCTAACCACTATGAGAAATCTCTCCCTACGCCTACACAGAGCTGATGAGTGTATTTAAAATTACTTTTAAAGAATTAATAGCTTTGGAGTACTTTTCCCTGTGAGTGAGCAGTGGGCTAATTTGCCCAGTGTTTTGGTGGTGTTCTTTTTTTAAGACAATTGCACAAGATTCCATCCAAAGCCTTCTAATTCTTCCACTTCAGTGGTCTGAATCCCACTAATAAACAATCAGGACTTTAGACTCCCTTAATGATGGAGAGAGATTCAAACAAAGATGTTTTGCCACTCTCTGCAAATTTCCTGTAGGTGCTGCCTGTTGAACAGGCCAGCAAAATGACGAATTTATTCAGGACTGATTGCATTGAGCATGTAAGCATTTTTGAAGGATTAAAAAAGAGAGAGAGTGAGAAATGGTTGTGAGCTGAATGAATGGTGGTGGGGGGAATACAGCCTCCAAACTCCCCAGTCGGGCAGGGAGCGAGGCTGCGTGAGGAGGAAGGAACAGACTTACTGCATGGATGAGCAAGGACCCGGACCTCGTCCACAGCGATGTAGCCAGGATGACCCTTCAGAGAGACGGATTCAAATATCACCTGTAACACACAGGGGGGAGAGTCGGTTTCGCAGAACTGCCTGTAGGCATTATAGGAAGCTGCCCAGCCCCCAAACCCTCTGTTTAAGCTTCCCATGAGAGCTCCCCCCCACCCCCGCCACCAAAGAGGCATTACAGTAGTCTAGTACACTCCCCTGCCAACTGTCTTGGGTTTTCAAAACAAGGTAAAAAGGCCACATTCTAATGACCAGCAAAAGAAGAGTCAGTCACATGGAACATTTTTAACAGATTTCAGAAATAACACTTGAATGCAGAAAAACCCAAACATGGCCTGAAACCCCAATCTGCACTTTTTTCATTGTTGTTTCAAGTGAAACACAGAGAATAATGGCTTCCTAATATCCCAAACTTTCTTATGAACTGTGACAAGAGCTTACCTTAGAAGCTACCATAAGCCAAGGAGGGTTTACCCTGATTTGATTCTACATCCCCTAGGAATATATTCTGTCTGAATTTCTTTTTTTTTTTTTATTTTAATTCCAATACAGTTAACATACAGTGTTATATTAGTTTCAGGTGTCCAATATAGCAATTCACCACTTCCATATAATGCCTGGGGTTCACGACAAGTATGCACCCCCTAATCCTAGTCCCCTGTTTCGCCCCTCCCCCCACCAACCCGCCCTCTGGTTACCATCAGTTTGTTCTCTGTAGTTAAGAGTCTGTTTCTTGGGTTGTCTCTCTCCCCAGTCTGAATTTCTTAATAATACCTCTCGAAGGTAAGCCCTCTGCACAACTGTCAGCGTCCGGGAATCCAAAGGCAACAAACTCTTTGAATTATCCATTCTGACTCTCACCCAAACTATGTATTTCAGTAGAGATTTTAAAGCTCAGTTAAGAGCTGTCCTTTCCACCCCCTGTCTAACTTCGCCTAGGAGATGTGACTACCCACGTGGATACTGTGATTAATGCCCTTGACCTCCCTAATTCCAATGGTGTTTATCTCCCAATCAGCTTCAGTCACAGATATGCATACTTGGGCCTCTCATATTCTTTAAAAGCTCCCCTCTGGCAGCAGGGTCTGCTCTAGTACAGCCCAGCTGTGTTACAATCGCATTTGAGATTCTCAATAGTTTTATCAACATTCATTCTCAACACTTCCTTACTTCCCACTGCAAAACTGCCCCCTCCTCCTATAATCTGGACTTTTCCCCCAACACTTCCCCTAGAACTGTTCTCATGGCAAATACCAGTAACCTCTTAGATGCTAAATCCAATAGATAGTGTTCAATCTTTATCTTAAGAAGGAAGACAGTGTAATGCTTGCACTCGGATCAGAATGCCTGGGTTCCGGTCTTGGTTATACCACTTACTAAGCATGTGACCTTGGCCTATCCTAATTATTAATAAATGTTCCATGAATGAATACAAGGCTGGTCATGGGAGAATGGTGAACAGTGAAACATACATTTGTTCAGTGTTCTCTCTCCCTTCTGCAGAAATAAGAATTCTATAATGAAACAGAATTTTTTCATCCATCAGAATTCCTCCGAGAATTTTTTTTTTTTTTTGGTAAAGCATTAGGATAGGTGAGATTTGGCTTTCTCAAAAACAGGAGAAAAATATTCTATAATAAATAAGGGAAAGAATGTTCTGGTTTTCCATTAAACGAGTTAATAAATGTAAAGGGCTTGCAACATACATGGTAAGATATTGATAAATGTGACTATTGTTGTTCTTACTCGTGAGAGAGGGATGGAAAGAAGAGAGGGGAATGTGAGGGAATAGTGGCAGGTGTGGAGAGACGAGGAAGCTAATGGACTCTCCAATGTGATTGTCCCCGGTAGCCACCACCCCAAGTTTCCACTGAAGTTCATTCTCTCAGTAGACTCTTTGATGTAAGTCATGACTGGCAGAAAATTGCAGAGGCTGGACTCTGGGTCCATGTGGAGTTATGTGGAAATAAAGAGGCACGTGTGGCTTCAGGGAAAAGGGGGTTCGGGAAAGGTGGTGGGGAGAAAGTACAGAAGCATAGAGAAAAGGACCATGGCAGCCCAGCAAATCCTTGATGAAGGCTCCAAACTCACAAGACATTAGAACTAGGTCCACAGTATATAAATACCAAAGCTTTACACCAAAGCTCTGGATACAGCTGAGACTAAAGCACTTCCCAAGAAAGAACTGGGAAAAGTCCTCCCCATCACTGCCAGATCACTCAGAGAAAAATGCTCACAAACACGCAGGAGCCCAGAGCATGTTGTCTTTGGCATGCCATTCCAGAATCACAACTTTTTTTTTATAAAAATCATGCTAGCTGCCATGATATAGACACCCTCAGTTCCTAGGGAGTAAAGAGTCAATAACACAGATACGAGACTGGATACGTTGGAAATAGTGCTAGAAGGGAAAGGAAAGCAAGGAAGATCCATGGTGGACCCTCCAAGGCCTGTCTGGGGTCACCTGCTGAGGCAAGTCCCCTGAACACTCTCGATGAGGCTGGCACTAAATTGAGTAAAGAACTGTAGAGGCTACTTGAGTGCTGTTTGCAGCAGGCAGGGAGGGTGGAGTGGAGGACAGGCACAAGGAGCTTACCATCACCCAGCAACACTTCATGTCAGTGTAGGGGGGGCGGCAGGGACCCTGAGGGACAGAGGGGCAGCACAAAGCCCGGGCTGGGCAACCCACCTTCTCTGCAGGACATTCTTCAACCCTAAGGCCACTAGGACCTACAGTCAACTACATGTGCCCTAGCCTCTAGAACCTTAGAGGCCTCCTGGGGCTTGCATGGAAAGCCTCAAACCACTCTCCATGCATGAGCTGTGGGCAAAGCTAGGAAGTCATCTCCCAGAAGAGGCTCAGAGATGCATCATCCTCAATTTTGCCAAAAAGCAGGTTGGGTGCATGTTAGGGAAAGGGGAAGAGATGTCAGGCCATGATTTAAGGGAGCTGGCATTTTATCCTCCCCTTTGGTGGTCTTTCAGCAGAGAATCTGTATAGGAAGAGTTTCAAGGGGCTGCAAACATTTTCACCAAACGTGAGAGAGAAAAATGTCGGCTACCAGCACCCCTCGTAGGAAGAAGATCACATGTATTTTCATGGAGAGGGATTACTGAGGGTAAAATCAAGAGAGCCTCTCGCCCACACCAGCCCCAGGAGGCCTGGCTAAGATGAACAGGAGAGTCTGCTGCTCAGCAGAGGGGGCAGTGGGAGAGAGGAGACGGGGTAGAGTGTGAACGTTGGGAGAGAGCAGCCTCCTCTGTGAGATGCACCCCATGAATTGTGCACGAAGCTTCTACACTGAGAGTACCAGATCCCCGAGAAAGAGACTGGACTCCAAGTCCAGCTGAATCCAATCCAGGCAGGTCCTAGATTTCATGAGTTTACACAACAATTATAAGCACTGAATAAAAGACAACTTCACCTACGCAGGTGATCGGAAACGGACTGAACAGGTAACTGATAAAAAGTTCTCATTTTTTTAAATCTTGGGACAGAACAGCTTCAAATCATTAAAAACATAAAATAGAGTTAACCTGACCTGCAAAGGGGCAGAGATTTAAAGTGTAGCTTAGGCGATTTTAATAAGCTCCAGTTCTCCGGAGAGGAGGCAGGTGTGGGGCTAGACAGCAAGCAGAGGTTCATCCCAGGCTCTGCTGAAAACCTGATGCCACAGAGCCCACTAATAGGAAAGATGAAATTTCCCTGTTTATTGCAGGGCTGAAAGTCCATTTTGGAACTATGAAATATGACTTTAATAAATGAATACATAAGCCATCAGGATCTGAGTCCCAGCCCTGCTAAAAACTAAAATTGTATTTAGTCCACAGAATCATATATGCAGGACGGGAGCTCAGGGTCTGATGAATTTTAATATCTACTTTGCAAGTGTCTTTGACTCTCTGGATAGATCTCCCCTTCTCTCCCCTGGATATATGTGTGGGTGCATGTAGGTGCATCTGCACCTGTGTGTGTGGCCACGGGACTATGCATTAGTGGCTGTGTGTGTGTGTGTGTGTGTGTGTGTGTGTGTGGTGGGGGGGAGAGACATGCCTCTTCTAAACTGCTGCTTTCAGTGCATTAGTGGCCTTCTCGCCACAAAGCTCACAGCAGAGGGTATAATGTAACGTAATGATGCTATAGTGCCCAACAAGTTGGAAAAGAGAAAATTCTCCCAGATGAAGACGCCTATCACAGGGATGCCACAGAGCTTACAGAGCACAGCTCAACCACAGTGGGCATTTCTTCAAAGAAGGAATCCTTCCTCTTTTTCTGTTCTTGCCTCCGTTCCTCCCTCCTTCCCCCCAACGATGACTGAGGCCCACTGCAAGCCTGACATGTCGTTTTATATATGTGCAATCGCATTCAGTGCAGAGAAGAACCGTCCATTGTTTCTTCTCTCCAGTTTACAAATGAGAGCAAGCGATTCGGAATGATGACAGGATACATCCAACATGACACAGCTAGTGAGTGGAAGATTCTCATATGGGCTTTTTTCCCCAAAAGCAGGAAACGGAGCTTGGAGCCAGAGGACCTAAGCAGGATTACAGGAACCTCAGTTTACCAATAATATGCCCTACTCTAGAACACAGGACACACTGCTTCCCAGCACAGGAGAATACCACACAGATAAACGAGAGACAATATACCTACCACAGAGCTGGGACAAAGGGCGTACCCAAGAAATGTCCTTTTCCCTCCCTATACCTCATCAAAGAACATGGCCACAGTGGCACTGTCCTCTCCTGGGTCGCTTTTCCCGCTTATTACACTTGCACTTGTGGCCCTATCCTATAATCCATTTATATCAGGCACTCGATAGGGGTTTTCCAGTTGCAGTCCTAAGGCCTCTCTGGGGGTATCCATGACTTAGGGACACTTACTTTATACTCACTTTTACAGGGGGGTAGTCGTGGACCTGGGCATCCAGATTCAGGTCCAAGCTTTTCCAATGATTTGCTGTGTGCCCTTGGACTTCAGTATCCTTCTCTAAACCTCAGCTTTACCACCTACATCAAGGTTCAGCAGACTAGAGCCTAGAGGTCCAATCTGGCCCACCACTTGGTTTTAGATGTAAAGCTTTACTGGGACACAGCTACATCCTTCCACTCATTTCCATATTGTGTGTGGCTGACCACACAGTCTATCTGAAAGGAATATACTATAGATGCTAAGCCAAAGGGGCCTGAGAAGCTCCGGGTCACGAACCGTGGCAGCCCCCAGTCCATTATCTGCTTCAGACTCTGCAGAAAAATGCCGATCTGACTATGTCACTTTCTTACTTAAAACCTTTCAACAGTAGGCATGGGGATAACTGCAAATAGGCAGAAGGGATTTACTGGGGTGATGAAAATGTTCTAAAACTGGTTTATGGTGATGACTGCACAACTGAGTAGATTTACTAAAAATCACTGGATTGCACACTTCAATGGGTAAACTCTAGGATATGTAAGTTGTACCTAAGTGCATAAAGTTGTTTTAAAAAAAGAAAAGCTTTCGAGAGTCCCAGGACAAGCGGCCCCAGAGCTGTGCTCCCCCAGGTACGCTCTGTGGACTGATGCCAGCCTGTGCCCTGTGCCTTCTCGGCCCTCAGTGAGGTAAGTAGGCCAAGTGGGAGAGGCGTTTAGAAACTACCGCAGTAATGTGGCACTGCTGTGACAGTTTTACTAGTCATGAAAGCACTGGGCACAGAAAAATGGCATTTTGCAACAGTCTGAGTGGCAGTGCTCCAGACCAGAGATTACACTTAATCTCCTTGGCCTGGGATTCAAAGCCAGCCAGGGTCTTCTGTCTTCTGCAAGCTTAGCTCCCTGTGTGTCTCCTTTGTGACCCACCCTCACACAAGGGAGAGTTTCCAAACTCTGCAAAACTTTCTCACTCACTCTTCCGGCCCCTGGCATACACCATCCCTGACAACCCAAATGCTTTTCCCTTCCTTTTTCAATAATTATTGAAATGTCACCCTTCACGACATAGCCTAGCTGCCACCTCCCCCTGGAAGCCTTCCTGATTGCTTCCTCCCAAACACTCTATTCCCAGGGGTTATCTTCTCTCTCATAACCTCAATCTTTTCATCCATAAATTAGGGATAATCACAGAAAGTCCCTCATCAGATCTTTGTGAGCAATTACTTTATAAGAGGCTTCAATGTCTCTGTTCTCACAGCATCCCGGAGAGCCTGCTGTGTCCCACACCACAGAAGCTGCTTATCTATATACTGGTCTCCTTTTCCCAAGCAGGATCTCCAGGAAGGCAGGGGCCCTGCCAGATCACATATGCCCCTGCAGGGCCTTGCTAGAAGAGGCTCAGTGAACATAAGTGGCATAAGTGAGTAAAGGAAGTCCTTTCTTGACCTAACAACTGTAGGCAGGGCAAAAGGCATAAAGGATTACTTTTTAGAGAATCAAACCATAAAACGCCGTACCTGGTAGAAATGTGGCCAGAAGGTGCTGATGGCAAGCTCTGCCTTCACCCAGCCCTCCGTGACGACCCCAGACACGTTCCAGACAGGGTTCCCCTGGGGTCCACCATTCACCTTCACATAGACATTCAAGGCTCCCGGGCTGGACCTGTCACGGCTGGAGAAGTAGTAATGGAAATCGATACAGTGGGTGTCATTCTCCTTCAGGGTCGGCAGGAGAAGATGGGCCTTCTGGCCAGAGGCCCTCCCAGAGCTGTTCACCATCATGAAGGATCCTGGAGACCCACAGAGGGGATAGGAAGTAGAGACAAAGAGAGAAAAAGAAAATCCTTCTGATAATTGGTCATACCCACAAACATAATGGCCAGAAATCAAGTCACTCTAGGCTAAAATGAGCAAATCAGAGAACTCTAGATGCTGGCGAGGATGTGGAGAAACGGGCACCCTCCTACACTGTTGGTGGGAATGTAAACTGGTACAGCCCCTCTGGAAAACAGTGGGGAGGTTCCTCAGGAAACTAACAGTAGAACTCCCCTATGACCCAGCAATAGCACTGCTAGGAATTTACCCAAGGGATACAGAAATGCTGAGGCATAGGAGCACATGTACCCAAATGTTCATAGCAGCACTCTCCACAATAGCTAAAACATGGAAAGAGCCTAAGTGTCCATCAACAGATGAATGGATCAAGAAGATGTGGTTTATCTATACCATGGAATACTACATGGCAATGAGAAACAATGAAATCTGGCCATGTGTAGCAACATGGATGGACCTTGAGGGTGTTATGCTGAGCGAAATAAGTCAGGCAGAGAAGGACAAATATCATATGTTTGCACGTATAGGAAGATTAGGAGGAACTTGACGGAGGACCAAGGGGGATAAGAAGGGCGGAAATGGTGGGGGAAAGGGAGAGAGGCAAACCATGAGAGACTCTTGAATGCTGACAAAAACTGAGGACTGATGGATGTGGGGGGGAGGGGGGGAGGGGCATAGAGGAGGACACTTATGGGGATGAGCACTGAGTGTTATGTGGAAACTAATTTGACAATAAACTATTTGTAAAAAAAAAAGAAAAGAAAAGAAATCAAGTCACTCTAGGAGGGTCTGATTGATCTTGAGGAAGCCACATCCTGTCTTTCAACCTGAGTATCATCTTCTGTAATTGTGAATTTTAAAAATCTACTGAATAAGGTAGTTTAAAAGTTAAGAGATGGGAACACGGGGCACCTGGTGGCTCAGTTCACTGAAAGTCCAACTTTGGTTTTAGCTCACATCATGATCTCAGGGTTAGTGAGACTGAGCCCCAAGTCGGGCTCAGCATGGGCAGCACAGACCCTGCTTGGGATTCTACCTCTCCCTTTCTCTCTGCCCCTCCCCTGCACGTGCATCCATGAATTCTGTCTCTCAAAAATAAACGTCTTTTTTAAAAAGAGAGAGATGGTAACACATATAAATATTTCTACAAAGCAGATAGTCTATTAAAATTTACAGAAGAAACACTACATGCAGCAGGTCACAAAGGAAACATGGAACAAAACCCCAGAAATACAGCTACCTGTGCAACCTCTAAGTGTAAAATGTGAAATGCAATCTCATGCAAGCCTGGGTTGTCTTGATGGAAGCCAAATCTGTCTAACGTAAGGGGGTCCTTCCAACATATTCCACTTGAACCCTTGCATTCAGTACAAGGAACAATTGCAAAGTATCCCAGGAGGACATATAAAAAGTATAATATATTCAATTAAGCAAGGAAGACTCCAAAGGAAGTAACAGACAACTAGAAGATGTTTGGCCTGGGATGGAGGGTAAGTAACACTTCCTAAGCACTTAAGGAGTACAGATGTGGTGCCTAATGTCTTTTTAATATATTATTCGATTTAATTTTCAGAATGACCCTGGGAGGTGAGGATTTTCATTTTATTTAAAGACTGAATGACTTTCCCTGGGCACCTCACAGAGGGAGGGATGGAGGAGACCCAGACATTCTCCAACTCCATGGTTACACTCTTACTCTCTGCAGAACACAGGACTACTGTTTTCAAGCATTAGGCAGGAGGACTGCCCACAGAAAGGAAGGTGGCCTCTTTGGAGTTGCTCTGACAGATTAAACGGTTGTTTCTACAGTTCTTCAACCCACCCTGGATCCATGTCCTGGTCCTCCCAGAAGAGGCAGAGGCCATGTCCCCATCCCTTGACTTTGGGCTTCACCTGCTTTGGTAAACAGGATGTCAAAAGACTGAATCAAGCAGAGGCTTAAAGTGTGCATGCCTAGCTACACTTGCCCTCTCGCACAATCACCATCTTTCAGGAGAAGACTGTGCCCCAGCTAGCTGCTGCCTCTTTCAGCTGAGGACTGAGAACTGACACATGTGGTGGAGAACTGAGCTCAGCCAGTGCTGAAGAACCAAGCCATCCCCACACCACAGCTACAAGCACAGCCACACTGTCAATACCCGAACCCAGATCCAACAGTGTACAATAAATGCTCAGACCCATGAGTGGGAGAGTAAATGCTCACTGCTATTTGCCATTGAGCTTCCTCTTCTTTTGCTGGGCAGCATTACTGAGGCAGTTGCTAACTGATAACTGTGCTAGAGAGGCAGATCTGCGAAAGAAGCCACAGGAGGCAAATTTCCATTCAAAGGGCCTTCTAAAAAAGGCCCTGGAGGCAAAGTTCCTTGCCACTACAGGTGGCTAAATAGAGCCTGGACCACTGAAGAGAAGTCTAAGGAAATTTCACTATCAACTGTGAGGGCCGAACTCTGGGACTTAAAGTCCCATGATGCTACAAACTAAACTGCATCATAAAACACAGGAGATAAACTCGGGATTCTGGGATGAACATTCCTACCTAGAAAAACACTGTTGCTTTGAAATCTCATTTAAACCACTAAAATCTTCAATTCAGAATGAAACCTTAAGACTGCTTATTCTCAACTAGAATAAGCCACTTCAGGAAGAGCCCTAGTCATTCACCTCAATGCCCAGAAGACTAGCTTCCAGCTAGTAAGCGCTGAGCAATCTGTTGCTCACTGGGATTCTAGAGGGTACCAAGCATTCCAAGCCCTTACTCCTTGGATTCTGCATGAATTTAAAAATAGATATGGGCACAGAGGGGGGCACTTGTGGGGATGAGCACTGGGTGTTATATGGAAACCAACTTGACAATAAACTATTTGTAAAAAAAAAAAAAAAAAAAGATAAGAAAAAAATAGATATAGGACAGGGATGCCTGGGTGGCTCAGTCAGCTGAGCATCTGGCTCTTGGTTTTGGCTCAGGTCCTGATCCAGCCCCACATTGGGCTCTGTACTGATGGCACAGAGCATACTTGGAATTCTTTCTCTCTCCCTGCCCTTCCCCCACTCACACGCACACTAGCATTTGGTCACACTGTCTCAAAACAAAACAAAAAAAAACCTTAAAACTTTCACACAGAGTTCAAAATTCCTATATTATTATTCACAAAACTGGATTAGAGAAAGTAACTTGGACTCAAGGCCAAATGAGGCTTCTACATTTTCTTCTCTGCACCAGCACATAAAGCAGGTGGATACTTGTGGACTCCGTCCTTCTGACTTCACCCAGATCCCTAGGGCTAGAGATATCCTGGAGAGATGGCCACTTAGGGCCAATGGGTAGGCCCATCCCCAAAATGAGCCAACAAGAAGCAAGGTGACTAAGACAGAGAAACATGAACCATCAGACATTCGCCATCCCACCAATCAGAAAACTCCCCGCCTCTTGGGATAGGAGACCCTGAAAGTAGTACAGAGGCTACATCTCCCCAACATCCCCCCACCATGTTTCCAAGAGAATCAAATCTCCTTATGGCATGGTGGTAACATAGGGTAAGAGGAGAGATGTCCCTTGTCAGATGTATTATCTCTAATTATCACAACCTCCCCACTGAGGCACCAAAGGAAGAACCACAGCAAGGGGGAAACTGAGCACAGATAGGAGACTGAGCTATCACCCACACCGGTGTCTGTTGACCTGCATGCCACAGGATTCCAGAAGGTTTCCCAGGGATAGATGAGTGATACCCCATGAAGTTTAGGTGACTGCACCTGCCAGAGAGGTGTGGCACAGCTATGGGTAGGGAAGACAGCCTGAGAAGCCATCAGTCCCTGGCTCTCTGCACTCAGAATCCCATGGTGCCCCCACGGACATTTCACCTCCTGCCCTGCCAATCCACATCGGGCTGCATGGAATCCATTCCAGAGAGAGTCGGGAGGGGTTCTCTTCCACCAGCTCAGGCTCCCACTTCTTCGTTCCAGCTCTGGTGGTGAGGCAAGCTCGTGGAAGAGGCAGAGCTACGTAATGTACATCCACCACCATGAGTCTAGGACTGCTCTCGATCCTGCTGTCCCCATGACTGCAGGCAGATGACGCTCTATCTCCCAGAAGGCAGAAGTACTGCAAGTGCTTGGCCTTCTATCTACCCTCCATTTGGAGAAACTCCTGGTTCATTAACACACCTGCCCTCTTTGTTCTGGGCACATAGCTGGACTGCATCCCCTGGCCTCCTTTATATAAATTGGTGGGGCCACACAACTGGGTTCTAGCCAATGGGCCTAAGTAAAGAAGTGTGCCACTTCCAGGCTTGATTCATAAAGCCACCTCCCTCCCCCCAGCCCTACTTCCACTGTTCCACCCTCCATTATCTTGTCCCTCAAAGGATGGTCCCTCAAACAGCAGCAGCACCTGCAAGTTTTTTAAGAAATGCAGAATCTTGGGGTGCCCGGATGGCTCAGTCATTTAAGCATCCGACTTTGGCTCAGGTAATCATCTCAGGGTTCATGAGTTCAAGCCCCATGTTGGGCTCTGTGCTGACAGCTCAGAGCCTGGAATCTGCTTCAGATTCTGTGATCCCCCTCCCCTGCTCGCACTGTGTCTCAGTCAAAAATAAGCATTAAAGAAATGCAGAATCCCGGGCCCCACACCAGGCCTTCTAAATCCAAATCTGCAATTTACCAAGATCTGCAGGTGATCTGTATACACATTAAGGTGTGAGAATCACTGCTCCATTGTCTCTCCCAACCACCAGCTAAATGAAAGCATAGGGTTCAGAGAATTCCAAGAGAAATGGAACATAATAAAAGGAGCCTGGTTCCCTGAACAGCCATGACCATCAGGAAGGCTACCTACCTATTAGGAACACTCATTTAGGCTTTAAGAAAACAAGGAATAAACTGTTACTGGGTTATTAAGGCACAGAAATTTTGAAGTTTATTTCTGCAACTAACATTATTGTTTTGGCACTCCCACAGA